GTGGAAGAGGTGGAGGGCACTGTGTTTTATGTTCGGGCACCAGGGGCATTGTGTGTTGTCTGGTGCTATGGTAGCAACGGGTTGGCCAATAGGGAGCCGCTCCCATGTGGCTAACCATAGGATGTCAGTGGCAGGTCGATGTCGGTGTTGATGGAAGATTTCATCCCAACTGATTTGTCCAACACAGGGGATGACTACTGTGTTGGGTTCATTGGGGATCTGTGGCCTGAGGATGTTGCGCAGTGTGGGGAGTGAGGGGGTCATTGCCATTGTATTTGGCATTATGTTTTCAATCTTTCTGCAGGCAGAAAGACTGCTGCGGAGGGGTTCGAAGGGGAGTCGGATACTGCGTTTTTGATTGATAGATTGGATTATGTCATTGTGTGAGGTGCGGGTTTGCATGATGTGGTTGAAGACATGGATCCAAAAAGGAGTGTGAGGGGCGAAGGCCTGGGAGATGGTTTTGGCTAATCGGATTTCGACTTCCAATTTGACGATTGGGAGGTTGATTCCTCCATTTCTGATGGTAAGGGAGGCAATGTCGAGTTTGGGGTGGTAATTTCTGCCTTTCCAGACAAATTGGTTAACGAGTGTTTGTAGTTGGGTGATGATGGAGTGTGGAGGGGGGGAGACAGATGCATGGTACCAGAATGTGGAAAGAATGTGTGTTTTGAGAAGAAGCACCCTTCCTCTAAGGGTTAGGTTTCGGGTGGCGAGTGAGGCAGCTTTGTTTTTAGCTTTTTGGAGTAATGAGTTCCATAAGGTTGCTGAGTTCTCCGGGGTAATGGGGAGAAGGACCCCTAGTGTGGCAAGGGGTAGTGAGGCTGCAGGTGGGTATGGGGGGAAGGGGTAGTTAGATGTTGGAGAGAGAGGGTAGAACGTTGTTTTGTTCCAGTTGATTTTGCCATTGGCAGCAAGAAAATGTCTGTCGATCCATAATTGGAGGGTTGACCAGTCTTGTATTCCGGTTCCCCCAATATATGTATCGTCAGCATAGTAATAGTATTAATGTAAATTAGTTTCATATTAATATTTTTTTATATAGAGATAATCCTATATATTAATCCTGTTATGGTTTATATTCCTCACATTCTGGTATGATAAAGGGAACATTTCAAAATGTTATCAGTTACCCTGGTCAGCTTTACAGCCACATCATCATCAGCCTCTCATTTATGTCACATAATCAAATGTTCACTTTGTCTGGTTTTGTTGCAGCATGCCCATATCATTTTTTTTTCTTTGATAGATACATTTCGGATACAAGTAGGACTTCATTTTGTGTCATTTCCAGCAATTACAATGGTACCTTTTCTTTTTATGGCTTTATCAAGCACCCTCACAATCTCTTGTATTGTCTCAACACCTTTTAAAGGATAATAATAATAATAATGATAATAATTAGTATTAGTATCTAACATTTTAGTTTTATTTACTTCAAAACTTTTAAGGTATTAGTATAGATATTTTACCAACTCCTCTTGCATTGGATTAGGACTGTACAACCAAGGAGTTGCAGCACACATTTGGTATGACATTGATTGTATATGCTGCAAGATAGGAGAAACAAATTTATTAAATGAGAATTTTCACAAAGACCATTTTGACATAAATTGCATGGACTAATAGAAAGAATGAGTGTTACCATGATTAATATTTGTAACTGAGGGGAGATTAAGATTTAATGCCTGAACATGGTCAAATCCCATCCACCATCCCCATTTCCATGACCAGTCTTATTCCTGATAGTTATATTTTGATATATAAGATTTAATAATTTACTGTTGTTTAGTATGTTAGTGTATTTATAAATAATGTATTATGATTGGATAAACAAATCTTACTGATGTCCTTAGCCTCATGGCAACTCCATTAGTTAAAGTCATCCAAGTCTACTATTCTCTGAAGAATTCGCATCTGTTATATAGTTTTTACACTGGATATAGATTGTGCATCTCATATAATGCACAATCAAATCCACACCATCATCTCCTGATAATTAAGATGAGTAATTGCATCATCGCAGTCAGAGATCATTTGGAGAACGTTCACAGCTAATAAATTATTATATCGAGAATACATAATGCTTTAAGGTATCCTATTCACCACGCCCGGAATTCTCACTGTCGGCTCGTCGGTCACAGGATTCGATATGTATATACACCCATTGTTCTTAACAAAACCCGAGTTTACACCCAAGTAGCAGCGTACCTTCAGATACCTTACATTAAGTAATTTCACGATACAATACCTTTACGAGCCATAGCACCGATGTGCTTTCAATTCTTCGATTTACACCAAGTGGCAGCGTAACTCCAAGATAACGACTACTTAACAAATACTCAATGAAAACTCACCCTCATCGCCACTCCACCTCGAACCCCGCCTTTTCAGGATATTATATATCGCCATCTCGAATATGTATTCTTTCTCCGTAGGGTTCGACGAGAAAATGTAAAAGTTTTCAAATGACGACGATGCAACTGAATAATATAAATATAAGCGGCAGCAAGTTTTTTTTCTTTGATAAGTCCAGTTGTAACGATCGAACGCGGTTGTCAAGTAGTTGCTTTTCAAGTTGTGAGTACCCAATTGATTGATAGTTGAAACAGACGATAATAAGCGAAGACAAACTGTATTATGAAATAAACGGGGGTTTTTTTAACCTTATCAAAACCAAATACTATTACTATTGGCTAAGTCGAACATCTTCCATATCTAGATCAACACCAAAAATAGAAGATTAATGCCGATCATCAAAATAGATTTTTGTCGTTAATAATAAACAACCACGAATCCAATGCTTATGAAACCCACATATTTGTTAATGATAACTGTCGCTAATGTGTATGCAAGAATTGATACTGAATATTAAGTACGATTTGAATTTGACTATACCGACTGGCTTGATTCTTCAAAGACGCGAAATCAATTTTCGTCGTTAATCAACCAAAAGAATAATACATATTCATATTTTAATCACATGTTAACGACAGTAATGTCCAACAAAATATGTAAGTTTCAAAATGCAACTTGTAAAGGAATCCATCGAAACGCTCTTGCAAGATACCGCAACCCTACCCTAACCCTAGCTGTTACTTGCAACGAAATTTAGAACTCTACGTAAACTCTTTGCAGTTGTAGCTGTAGTAAGTCGTATTTCAAGTATATGAGGGAATGTTAGCGGCATGCTAACAAAATAGTCTCAGATTTCGCTCTCCCTCTTGCTATACGTATATACAGTATACCATCATTCTGAGTTAAGGCTCCTGCTGCGGCGGCAGTTCGGTTTGGTATGTATTACTTACGGAATTTTCTTTCCCTCATCTCTCGAAAACGGTTGCTGTGATAAACAAAGTAATAATTATTAAAAATGTTGTTTATGAATAGAACTATATTAATATTAGGAAGCCATGCCAGCGTCTAGTTGCAACGGAAGAAACTGTGCACATTGTGGGAAGAAACTATAATACTATTATATTTTGCCGGGTGACTTTGTCAACAGATTTTTTTAAAACGAACGCTTATTTCATTGCAAACGCGAAAAAGCAAGTTCGGAGGTCAGGTGTTTGATCGTGACATTCTATACCTTGGTTATGCGACTATATGTGTCTTCGGAATTGATCGACAAAATTCCGAAAGACACTTCCCTATTGAATTTTGTGAAATGTTGCAAGAAAGTTCTTAGAAGGTTATATATCGCTTCCTCCAAATAGATTTTAGATCGTCCAGCGAATGTTCTTCTGAGATACAATGTCTTTAGAAAACCCAAATATGACTATGATAAAGCGGGCGTACTCTCAAAATATGACTTAATTGACAAGCGAACATTGAGCTAAAAGCAAAAGTAAGTTACGCGCTACTGGGTTACACAGTTGTCATGACCGATAAATGAAAAATTGTGTCATAGCCGTCACGTTTTTTTTTTCGCGTTTGCGTGGCGAAAGCCCGCCCGAGGGATTAGTCATTAGTCTTAGCTTCAACCTTATAGAGCTATCCTATTTATATTACCCGATAATTGTATTGATTGTTATAACTTTCTTTACGTAACGGGGATCCCCACTTTCTTGCCACTCTTCGAAAATGCATTCAGAGAAAAACAACGACGTGTGTCTTACTTGTTTCGAATCCATTAATTCAACCGATGAGCAAGTTATTTCGGTGGAGATCATATGTCGCGTAAAATAGATGTGCCCTCTCTCGATGGATAATGTCTTCTGAAGCGATATAAGAAAAAACTTTTGCGCAAAAAATACATAGGGTTCAGTATCAACATAACGGGCATTTTCTTAATAATCCGCGAAGCACCGATGGCCTATATTGCACTAGCAAAAGTGAATATCAAATCAGTTTATCCAAAACGGCATTAAAAGAAGACATCGAATCAATTAGAAAGGGCGTGAAAAAAGTTATTGGAATAATTGTCGGACTGTTAAAAGATAGGATCCGCGCTCTGTTAACCTTCAGGATAAGTATTTGATAAATTGTTTATCAAGATGTAAGCTCATTCACGGAAAAAATTTTAGAACGGACTTCCAAAAAAAAAAAAGATGTGAGAGCTATTGATATTGGATATAAATTCCCAAATTCTATTGTCCAAGTCTGATAAGCCAGCTTACGGAAGTTAGAGTAATATCGAGCTTAGATTATTTTCGATCACCTACTCATTAACTCAACTTCAATGATTGAGTATACATCTGCTCATTTACCAGAAGCAAAAGGTTTTTTAATTCAAAATGCCAAATATTGGCAAAAGAGTGTAATGGTTTTAATGATAACCATGTTAGCCTCACGTAAAATTTTAATTACAATAAGCATCTTGCTGTATTCCTGACATCAGCATTGTTCTTTCCAAACAAAAAGTCATTGATTATGATGACAGATTTGGGTTCCATTGGCCAAAACCTTCAAGTTCAGATATCAAATGTAAGTAAATGTTAAATGTTAAATATAATTTAATTAATTACACTTACATATGTCCAACTTTGGGTATTCTGACAAATATAGTGTCAGGGATTTCATGTGCAAGCAATTCCCCTTCTTGAATAGAGACTAGTTTATCAACTTCACCATGAATTATCAAAGTTGGCACTTTGATCATGTGCACTTTTGAGGCAAAGCTCGACTGTTTTATAGCTTCCCATTGCCGTTCTATAAGTAAATTTGGTTTAGTTTTCAGTTTTTTAAAATAAACTTTAAGCATAACAAGTATGGTTCCAAGAAAAGTACAAACTGAAAATTTCAAATGGCCTGCGAGCATTGAACATAACCTCAACCACTTTATCAAACATCTCTGGATGTTTGAGAAGGTAGTCAGTAAAGTTTTTTTCAAACATAATCGTAATTTCCCTGCGTTGCTCTTGTAAGCTTTTCGCATAATACCACTTCGGCAAGTTATACACATTGTCGAGCCTCGTAGCTGTAGTAAGATGAAGCCAGCTATAATGACAGTCAAAGTTGTGGATAAGTTAAAGTAAAACTTCTACAGTATGCATGCACAAACGTATGCATTTTACCTTGCACAAATAATTAGTTTTTCTAATTTAAGTTGCGGAGGTATATTTAACGCAATGCAAAGTGCTATTTGACCTATTGGAAAATACAAATTGACAGCTCCTGCATATGAATAGAAGCACTACTATATTAACACTGGTTTTTGAGAATTACCTCCCATAGACCATCCTAACAGATTAAATTTCTTAATTGCAAGATGCTTGATTAATGCAATTGTATCTTGTGCCATCAAATCTATTGAGCACGGATCATTTTCAGACGCAACAGTAGATTCTCCGATTCCACGATTATCCAGTACAATTACTGTTGAATAAATGTTATAAGTAGTGTAAATCATTTACAAAATAGGATGAAGAAAATAACTATCCTTCTGATCGATAGACATTTCATTGCACATACCTTTTCGATTTTTTGCTAATTCTAATATCGCATTAAAGTCAGTTGTAAATATGGAATATAGCTTATATGTTATGTAGGTAATCTATAAATAATTTACCTTTTTCTAAACCCATTAGTAGTTCTTTGGGAGTCCACCTATTCAGGTGTGTCGATTGAAAGCGTAAATCAGATTGAAATGCGGTTTGTTACAATAATAAGCAACTGTAGAGATATATATGAAATATGTAACTCCCGTCCAGGGTCCCCAAAACCGCTTCTACATATGTAAATCCGGGAATTACATACAACATATATGTGCTGTATATATATTGATTGAATATGAATTATTACAATCCAACAATCATCACAAGAGGAGTCTCATCCTTTGTAACATCTGACTTGCATGGTTCGTAAACCTTGTACGCAATTCGTGAACCATCCTGTTGCTCGAAGAAGAGAGATTCGGACATTTTAGTTTTGAGAACTTTTCTCTGCATATGTTATTTGTACAGCTGATAGATGTAACACACGTTCGGCCAATAGAGTGGGATAAAATTTTTGCCTGTATTACTTATTATAATAGTAAATATGCATGGATATGTTTTGATTAATTCAAAAATCTTGAGATAACCAATGACTATGCTACTATTGCAATTGTTTACTTGTTCTGTTTATTTCTAAAACTCAGAACGAATAAAAGCGGTCACTAAATTCAAAAACATTATAAATAGAACGATTACTCCGTGTTAACAAGATAAAATTTCTATAAATCAAGTTATTTGAACAATTTGGGTGTGTCGCAGTTCGTTCTTCCATTCCCATTGGCATTGGAATACCATCTAAATCATCTTTATCTAAATAAAATAGTCACCAAGGGCATATTTTAAACATAATCAGTTTCAGAATTACAGGATTGATGGTGCATTTTTATTTGCAAGTTTTTTTTTCGGCGTTGGTACATTTCCCTACCAAAAGTATCCGACACTCTTCTAGTAAAAAGTATGAGAAAAAATTTATTTTCGAAAATCTCGGTTGTGCGTATTTATTATGTGTGCCACGATAATTTGGTACCGTTGTGAAGCTAATTGATTGTATTTTTTCGAAGAAAATAGTGATACGTGTACAAGAGTATTGAATTAATTCCACACTTTTTTTCTTTCGAAAAAATACAATCAAGTGGCTTCACAACGGTACCAAATTATCGTGGCACACATAGTAAATACGCACGCACAATCGAGATTTTCGAAAGAAAAAAAAATTTTTTTTTGAATGTCAAATACTTTTGGTAGGGACTCCGATATGAATACGCTTCAAATCATCTCAATTCGGATAATACACGCAGGTGAATTATCGTGATTCAAATAATACATCCGCCACTTTACGTAGAGATGGGGAAAATGAGAAAGACTTGGAAGGAAGGGAACGTCAATTAAAATAAAAATTAGATCAAATCTGTCAACCTGATACTGTGGCGCACACTAATACAAATAATACTCGCTAAAATTTTGGAGTTATTACGTACAATTAATTTTGTCTAGTATATACAATAATACCAAGTTAATGAGCGATGACTTTACCAAAGTGATTTTTGTGTTGTTCGTAGGTCCTATGAAGAACGCAAATCTTCGAAAAAATTTATCGTTGAATTTCTTGCAATGCTTCCAATTGAGATTTCGAAACAAGAACAAATAAATGTTTTGCTTGATCAAATGACAAAAAAAAAACACCTAATGTCTGCCCAACTGGTGCGTTCGACCAGTGACAAGAAAGAGTAGTAATACTCTTGCGGACATATCGGAGTTCACGCGCGGTATCATTCGCTTGGAGGATAAGAAACACAGTTATAAACTGTTCGCATTCTTCCCAATTTAAACATGACAGTGACAATGGAATTAGTTAATGAATTAATCAAGAAATTGAAAATACTAAAAACCAACACAAATCGCGACGCATTAAAATAAAATAATATTATATTATCCATTTTTAACGATCTACAAATTCTTGCTCTTCTTTTCTAGTCTTTGTCACAGCTACTTCTTGTTCTACTTGATTAATCATAGTGTCCCAAACGTTCTTCGCATACTCCTTTGATATATCACCAAATACCACATTGAATACATCGCTATACCAAGCAACCGGTACACCCTTGAGACCTTCTTTCACATTTTCCGGAAGCTCTTCCCAGTCGCTGAGATTGGCTTCCGGATAGATTAATGTAGTCACTCCCGATCGCTTAGCAGCTACAGCTTTTTCACGTAGACCGCCAATTTTGAGAACTTTGCCGGTGAGTGTCAATTCACCCGTCATTGCAATTGTCGGATCCAATGGTTTCTGGAAAGCAAGAGAAAGAAGTGATGTTGCCATTGTTATACCAGCCGACGGTCCTGTATACAAGTCAGTGGAAGACATGATGAGTTTAAGAAATGCCTGATAATGGATTGTTTTTATTCTCAAATATTAATATAGATATTTCCGTACCGTCTTTTGGCGTAGCACCTTCCGGAACATGGAGATGAATTGCAGCTTTCTCGAAAAACTTGTTTCCTGAATATTCAAGTGCCATAAGGCTCTTTGCAAAGGTATACGCAATTGCAGTCGATTCCTTCATAACGTCGCCCATTTGACCAGTCTTGTTCAGACATGGCGTTGAATTCAACGTTAGAATTGACTCTAAAGTGGACTCCACATATAAAGCAGAACCGCCTTTAAAACATAATACATTTCAATATTTAACAACGTGTACACTCGTAATGCGAGAATATAAAAGAAATGTTAACTGCATACCCATACTAGTCCATGCCAATCCCATAACAACGCCTGGTGGTGTTTGATCGTACAGTCTATCAGAATACCATAGGGGAGGACCAACGTAATCTTTAAGATTCTCAGCATTAATATCAACATGTATATTAGAAGGAACATCTAGAGGTTTGCGATTTTCAGTTGTAACATTGATATCTTCATCATCAACTTTAGCAGCTCCTATCGAAGATAGCGGTGTTTCTCCCTCAGTCGAAGAACCATCCAACTCTTGAGAAGGCAATTCTTCATCTCCAATATCTTTAACTATCTTTAACGCTGCCTTACGGTAAATTTTGTCAATTTGCTTTTTCAGATTCCTAACTCCGCTTTCGCGGCAGTAAGATCGAATCAAAGATTCAATAGCATCTTCGTGAAGAACAACATCTGTATTCTGCAATCCTGCCATTTCCTTAGCGACTGGTGCAAGATACTTTGATGCAATAGCAACTTTCTCATCAGCCACGTAGCCAGATAATTGAATGACCTCCATCCTATCTAGTAGAGGACCTGGAATGGTATCAACAATATTTGCAGTACACACAAATAGAACTTTGGATAAATCGACGGGCACGTCCATGTAGTGATCAAGAAACGAGGCATTCTGTTCTGGATCTAGAAGTTCAAGCAAAGCCGAAGAAGGGTCGCCTTGGTGGCCACGCCCAATCTTATCAACTATTATGGAAATACGATGAAAATTGTGTTAATATCAATCGATATGTGTAACACGCAAACACAGGAAGACGATCTAGCACCTTCATCAATTAATATTAACGGATTTTCTGTCTGCACTTTCTTCAAAGCCTGAACAACTTTTCCGGGCATTGCACCAACGTAAGTACGACGATGTCCCTTAATCTCAGCAACATCGGTGAGGCCACCAACACTGAATCTGTAAAATTGACGAGACAATGCACGGGCAATGGATTTTCCAATAGAAGTCTTGCCAACACCTGATGTATAGTACGGCAACAGTCAACATTTGCATTACAATGGCAGTGGCGACAACTGATAGGTTAATTACCTGGTGGTCCAACTAAACACAAAATTTTTCCTTCAACAGTTCCGCGTAATTTACCAACCGCAATAAATTCCAAAATACGATCCTTCACATCTTGTAAACCGTAATGATCCTCATCAAGGACTTTCATGGCGTGTTTGATATTGTAATTCTCTGGTGAGCGTTGGCCCCAAGGTATTTGCGTCAGCCAATCCAGGTAATTACGTGTAACGTTGAATTCAGAGGCAGCAGGTTCGAGGTGAGCGAGTTTATTGATTTCCTACAAAACACAGTTACAATGATAAGCCGATAATACAACGTTCCAATGAGGAAAAAAAAGACCACACAAACCTCTTCAAAGACTTTCTTGACAGCATCAGGCATGGTAAGTTTCTCAGCCTTTTCCTTAAATTTCTCCACAAGTTTGTCTTTACCATCAGATTCAATACCAAGTTCTTTTTTTATTCCTTTCAATTGTTCCATTAAATAATATTCTCGCTGTCTCTTGGCTATTTTCGACTCAACCTCCTTACTTATTTTGCTTTGCAGCTGAGCATTAACTAATTCCTTTTTCAATACAAGCAAAGATTTCTGCAAACGCTCTTCAACTAGCAGACTCTCGAGCACATCCTGCAATTCATGCGGTTCACCGGTTGAAACGGCGGCTGCAAAATCAGCAAGCTTAGCGGGTTCTTCGAAAACGTTACCAGCCGACTGTGACATTGAGAAGCTAGCTATTTGATCACGAAAGAGTGGATTCAAAGTTGCAATGTCCTTGAATACTGCTACAATTTCTGAAGTAATTGCGCGAATTACTTGATTCTTACGATTGTACGGTTCATCAACAAGGTTTTCTACATTGACGAGCGATACCTGAAAGTCCTTAAGGAATGATGTTACGTAGGCTGTCTGCGATTCTTTCCCGGGTTTGTCCTCGGAATGCTCATTATCGTGTTCTGTGGGGGCAATCTCTGCACCAGGCACCTGGTCTGCATGATCAGTCGGTGGGATAAGCTCCGAGATTCGTATACGCCGATGAGGATACAAAACAGCCGTTAATGAATTCTCGTCCTGTCCACTATTTGCTGGAAATACACTTGTGATCTGAGCAAAAACACCCACGTTATACACTTGAGAGATATCTGTGATTACATCAACATCGAGTTCCTCGTCTTTTAACAAGAAAGCTCCAACATACGGTTGACCGCGTTTCATAAGCTCCTTAATTGCTGCAGTAACGCTCGGATCTTTGACAACAACTGCTTTATAAAATCCGGGAAAGAGTGGCCGACGAGCAATGGGTAAGGCTAAAACTTGCGGATATACCTCGGGTATTGATGGCTTCTGCAGCGTTGTTTCTAGCACGTGTAATGTTCGCTGAATCCCTTCAAATGGAGATCGACCCGAATTATCCGAGCCAGAACCTGATCCGGGAGTTGATCCAGATCCAGATGTTGATTCGACATTTCCTTTACTTTGTTCGTCTCCCTTTCCTTCTGCAGCGTTGCTTGAGTTGTTATCTTGTCCCTCATTACTAGATTCATGGCTATCTTCGGTAACATCCTCCTGTTTCTCGTTACGCTCTGTTTGGTCGGATTCGTCCTTACCTTTGTTCTCGTTGTCTTGATTAGAGGTTAACTTATCCTGCCCTTTTGATCTTCCACGTCTAAAACCTCTTTTGCCATACCATTCGGCCAATGTTGAGTTCCATTCCGTTTTTCGACAGAGCTGTGTATAGGGTAGACCGACTGCATGTGATCTGTTTACTTCGACTGTGATCCCTCCCGCGAAAACAGGACCGTTCCCTGCGGTCGTCAGAAAGCACCTTGCACCAGCTGGGAAAACTTGATTGGTTATTGCAATTGTGGGGGAGCGCGCAATAACTGCACTACCTCCAGAGAGGTTTTTCAGTATTGTTTGGAAACAAACTCGAAAAGAGGCCATACACTTGCATTACTTTACCCTGAATAGGGTATATGACGGTGACGTCAGTGGCTGCCACTATTTCTTTTTTTATGCGTGGAAACCCCCTGATACTGATGAGTTTATTGTAGGGGTTTGAAGGACGTCTGGCAAATTGGTCAGATTATTGATCTTAATATTAATAAAATTAATTGCGGCGTTTCAATCGAGGCTTTTACTTTTGCTGATTAATTTTTCGTGTCTCGTGATCTCACATCTAACTTTGTGTCTATTTGCTATTTGCATCTATTTACACTAGAATTTTAAAATTACGGTTAATTTCTCTAAAACGGTAATACTTTTATACAATACCTGTCTATTTGCATATTGTATATTTGCATAAAGTCCATGTTGGGACTTACGTATATAAAGATCAACAAGAATGTCTTTATTTTCTTACTTGTTTCATAGGCTCTGAATAGATTTTGTCCATTGCTTCCTTTACACTGGTCAACTTTTCAACTTTATCAGAACAGTCTCTAGGTTGTTGCGACAAAATAATGTAGATATTTGTAGGGCTTCTAACCTTTAAACAGAGATAACAGGCAACTTGTCTTCCTATTTTCATTATCTTCTAGCATAACGTCTATATAAATTTATCAATAGTAATAGGTGCGACTGTATTCACTTTTATATTACTTTTGACTAACAATAAAAGATTCCCAATTCTGGAATTGGAGACATTATTCGCCCTCGACATCGAGCTAATAGGCTATTCCATTCCTATGGAATTAATTGGGAAGCCCATCGCGGGGGGTACAAATGATTGATATAGGGATTAGTGATGTCCAACTACTCTCTAAATGCACACCTCGGGACTGAGAGTGCATTTAGAGAACAATGCATGTTGGTGCACTTACGGAGTGGTAACACACGTTTAATATTATTATTCTTCGTCGTACGTCCTTAATACATTCTTGCTTACCCAGTTACAATACTTGATTGTTGTATTGCATTAATCTTCCTTTCTCTAACATACAGTATCTCTCTAGAATATTGGTAAACTGCATTTACTTTATAGTAATGCTTATGTTTTGTCCGATGTTTGAAATATGGCCTAGTCACCGCTTGCATGAAAATTTAAATGGTACAAAATAACTCTTCCAATGGTCTTTTATTAATTTAACTTTCGGCAATAGTATTAGTATGATTTACTGGCCGATTTTTATCTAACTTTACGCGACTGACAATAAACCATGTTGTAAATCGTACCAATTATAATTTTTCCTGATGTATGACAATACAATGTCTGTTATACTTAAGATCACGTGCGTGCATTAGGGAGTGTCGACTGTATCGTTTATCAGGAAATGAGTACAGTCGACCCCGTTATAACGAAGAGGTCGGGAACATAAGGCAAAAATTCCAAGAAATTCGGTATAACAAAGTTCAATTAATAAATTCGGTATAACGGTTTAAATTTGCTATAGACATTTCTGTCCTTACCTTCGGTATAGCGGGTTTTTACTTAGTCCTTCGGTATAACAGAGTTCGGTATAACGAGGTTCGACTGTATTGAACTACTCGTTTATTAGAAAAAAAAATTATTATAACAATAGGACTGTGCGACTTGCAAACATGATGAATATCAAGCCACTTATATATCTAATTCACAACACGTCTATTTTTAGCATTTATATCATCTATGATTTGATGTCCCGATATAAGAACGTTTATTCAGAATCCTATCCATCATCAACATCGTCCCTCACATATAACTACTGAGAAGCTAACGTTTATACATGTTACCTTAATCATGTAAAGCTCTATCTTAATCTAGTGTGTTATCATAATATATTACATAATTGAAAGAGTACATGTATTTTGCAAAAATTATTGACTGCCACAATATAAGATGAGTATTAATTGACTTTAGTCACCAGAAATACTTCCCAGTCTGCCCAGTGAAATTCATCTGAATCTGACCTTATGGGAATTTGGTATGTATCTTGTCTAGCAAAAGGAAGATATGTCCGAAACAGACTTTTACCACCAAAAAACAAATCTCCACTACCAAAACAAGGATAATAATACCTAGCCTCCTGAATTGCATACTCATAATTGACAACAGAACTCACCATGTTATTTTCAGATTCATCATTATCTAATGAAAATATAAAACTTCCTGAAGTCAAAGCCCATACTATACTTGAAGTCTCAGAGGTAGTTTTCCAAGCTATAGGATTATATCCACCAAGAATTTCCTCTGTATTTAATATCTTTCCAACAACTACTGTAGACCCTTTCCCAGCACACATTTGTCGAAACTTTCCAAGATAATCACCATCCCTACTGTGTCTATAAAGTAGGGTCAGCTTATGAAAACTATTATTTGCTCCAGATGTTCTTTCTCTTCGATTTAACTTGTTTGATTCCATAATCTTCCATGAGATCCATGCTGCTTGTTGTCCATTAATTATTACTGAGTCTATGTCTGAGTTAATATCAGGAGGTTTTAGTTTGCACTCTTCATCAGAAACATTTACATTGAATGAATTATTACAAGTTGCTTGGCCTTTCCTTGGTGGTAAAACTATTGATTTTGGTTTATAATCTTTATTCATATGATAAAAAACCATATCATGCCGCAAGTCTTTTGTTAATAACTCATCATATGGAACAATTTTCTTCTGAAAATCTTCAGACGGAATATTGAAAAACCTTATATGTTGAATACAATCAGATATAATTGCTCTGACTTTAGTAACATCTTCAAACGACCAGCTATCCGGTTTATTTACAAGTCCTGGAACTTGCATAGTAGCCCATTGTATTACTGATGTCCAAATATCAATTTCTTCCATATTAAGTTCATCATGTTTGAGAAGAGTGATCAAAGTCTCTTTGGGAAAACTCATTAAATTGTCAGATTTAAAAACAAGCTCTGGTGATGATAACATAATGTTGTTGCAATAATCCGAAAGTTTGTTTAATAAACTTGAGGATATAGATAGGACACATTTGTAGACTGCAAGAATGTTGTGTTGTATCCATTCCTTTTGGTGGTTGACCAAATACTCTCCAACTGCAATAACAAAGTTATCTAATTCAAATCTGCAAGAGACGTCCAAAAGGCCGATCCAATCCATAACTTCACTTGAACTGTAACTCACTTTTCCCGTGTAAATAAATCTATAATAATAAGTACAGTAAATTTATGGCAAATCATTTAGCAAATAACTAATAAAAATGATCATATTAACGAGTTTAATAAATAAACATTACCTGAGCAAAATTTCAAAGATTTCAGATGTTACATCTTCAAATGCCATAACCGTGTCTGGATTTTCAACTATCACCTTCTCAAAATATGTGCTTCTCGTACACAATACCACTGCATGAGCAAGAAAGATTTTGTTGTTTGGCTCTCTGCCAACGTTAATCGAAATATCTGTATATTTTCCACTTCCATAAAGCTTCTCATAATCAGATGGAAGTTCCGAAGACAAATCAATTGTGTCGATTAATGTAGTCATGTTGGAGGATTGTGTCGTGTGTTTGGTTATGGTTGGAATACGCCGTATTAAATAATCGATCAGACATTTCGTGTAACCATTATGCATACACTGTTCTTCGTATTGAACTGTCGAATTGCGCTGGAGTTGCATATTACTACTATTAAATAGTTATAAATATGAGTCCAGTATGACATTCAAGGCTGTAGAAGAAAAATCCCACTCCAATGAGAAGGTGCAAATTAAGTCTCGATAGTATGCAGCCTCTTGTTGTTGTCATTTGCATTAACGGCTGAGGTATTTCTAAATACGAATCACACAAAGAATGTAAAAAGTCCCGGGCAATAAAAACCAAAGCATGTGAGATTATCACGTCAGGGAAAGCTTGCATCAATGAAAAACAAAGCTTTGAATAATTTCTTAACTCGGACACTTGCAGAAATAATGGCGAACGGCTAAGACTGATTATCACATGATATTAATAGTACAAGTGTAAACATTACTTACTGTTACACAATACCAAGGAAATATTGAACGAAAATTCTGTTTGCTATTACTATTACTATTACGTTTATTACTATTACATTACTATAGTTTCCGATAATATCGTCCCTTCCCGTTCAGCTTTCCACGTTTGTTTCTTCTTTCCCAATCTAAGAAAGAAAATGAGTCAAGAAGAGGATGAGGCAGACATTGACTATTACGACCTCCTCGGCGTTCCTCAAGACAGCACGAACGAAGTAATTGACAAGGCATATCGTCGAAGAGCCAGAAAATACCACCCAGACAAAAACCGCGATAATCCCGAAGCCGGTTTGGTATCGTATTCAACGTTATTCTGTTGTTTGCTCTTGCTTAATTAATACTCAGATCTACTGTTGCTTTCGTTTTTATAGCAACGAAAATATTTCATCAAATAAGTAAGGCTTACGAAATACTTACAAATCCACAAAAACGCTTGGTATATGACAACGCGCGTAAAGCACGCTCTGCACTCAAAGTTAGACATGAAGCACTGGATGCAAGGCGGAAGGCTATGAAAACAGGTGCATGTTATTCTTACTGTCGGAGAATCCTTTACTGAATGGTGTGTATTGACATCATGTATACAACCTCTCTTGACGTTTTACAGATTTGGAAGACAGAGAAAACGCCGCTAGATTAGAAAAACGAAGAAAAACCGCGACCGAAGAATCAAGGCAGGCAAAGGTAATGTATTGGTACGCTAAATTTCCGTGATTTATTTTGGAGACTTTTTATTTTGATGATCATTTAAATTTAGATTGAACGTCTGAAAGAAGAGACAGCACGAAGACGTGAAAAAATGGGAAAGGGAATATATGGAAGAAAGCAAGGAGATAAGTCATAGTGGAAAGTGAGAGAAGTCAAATTGTTGAGCAAGATAGAATCATGGAGAGTGCAGTGCACAATGCGTATATAATATCATGATCGCATAGAATAACGCACTCTTCTGATTACATTAATTACCAAGTCTTCCACGTCCTTCCCGTATTTCTGTACACTGCCACCTTTACCCTCAATCTAAATCAAAGACCCGTATTGTAGTCATGTAAATTTAATAATCCTTGGAATGCAGGTTGAGATTCTCTTAAAGAGCTTTCTTATGGGGATATTTTAAGCGGTTGAGAATTAATGAAGTAAATGAGATGTTTGTGGAAAGAGCAGTTAAAGAGAGTGGCTACCTTTACAGAAACATATTGAGATGGAACCGTTAGTTTTGGTTTGACTCTCGCCTATCGGGATGTGCTATACGACTTCGTTCTTTTTTAATGCCAATCCTAATGCTAATTTACTCGAACTTTTTCAGGCGATCATTCACTGCAGATGTCATAATTCGAATAATGTAGTATTCATCACCATTTCTTTATAGAGGGCAGCTCTATTTAAAAACCAATATTATAATTAGATAGACGAATCCGTTAATTCACTATTCTTCTCAAACAACAGGATTAGATGGCATCGGTTAATATTAATATTAATTACTTTTTCTGCTAACCACTTTATTCCGGCCTCCATTCACTTTCTTATTACAATCTTCGAAACGCATCGGCTTATGAATGATCCATGATGCTCAATGGTACTATGGTGAAATCTACTACTACTGTACTATCAAACGAGACTTAATAATGAATCTTACTTATTTCAATTGATGTGAAGAGATCACATTGACGCGTTATGATCTAAGCCATTTCGAAAAGTCACGTTATGTGCGTCACATGCCAATAGTCTAAATGTGTTGTTTATAATAAAAGTGAGTTGTACTCCTCTCTGGCTTTTTTTTCATATCTCGTTTGTCACAGAAGAGAGCAGGTGTACTAATATTTATTGCAAAGTGCGCCCAAAATATTACAAGCAGACTTGTGCATTAAGTAAAATTGTTGACAATATTAACATTTATTATACTACGCTTTTCCTGAAGGCATACCTTCTAAGAAAACAACTCCTATCAAGAAGAAGGACAAGAAAAATAGCAATTATTAATTAACCCTCAGTTAATATTGAACGAAATATAAATTGTATTAACAATTTTCGAAATTCAATTTGGAAAGCCTTAATCTTGTCTTTAGTAAATTTACAATAACTTGAAAATGAAAAGTAAATTGGTACTCAAAATACCTCATTTAAAACTGTAAACACATTAATTTTTGTTCATAAAATTGAAAAAAAGAAATTCATTCATAATCCCTTTCGATAATTACCCACAAAGTCTTTAATAGTGAATCTGAAATCTCATTTCACTCCTCTGCTCCTTAATTCAGCGAATTTTTTTGGTCTGGCTTTTCTACGTTAATTTTAACTATGTTCTATCTGATTAACATCAGCATTATTTGATGGCCTGTCAATAACTATGGGCATATTGGATGCTCAAATAATCAAACACAATATTTAAAAGGAGAAAATTAAGCTTATAAGATGTATAGAAACCAAGCGGAAGAAGCACTTGGACAACATGCAGGTAACAGGTTTCAGCACGTATGCTCAAGGACGTTTCCTGTCAGCGTGACTGGTAGCAGGCAAATAAACTATAGTATATAATACTTTAGCTTTCAAGTAGAATGTGCATGGCATTGTTACAAGAGGTTTCTTTATTCATTTTCGGTTACATAAAAACGGTTGAGTAATCTCGACCCTTTACTTATAAATACGCAAAGAAAATTGCAGAGGCGGAAAAATAGGATGCTCTCATCAGCTTACCTCCTCCGATATTTGGTATGTAGTTAAGTTAAAAGGGAGGTAGGCGCTCATAAGCTCTTGTCAAAGATTCTTTATTGTTTGATAATTATACATTTTACAGAATAAGAAAGTCCCCCTACAGATTTGGAAACGTTTCGAGGTACTAAATTTGGTAGAGGAGCTTGGCACTTGGGGGTAAATCTACCTCTCCCAATATATTGCCAAATTTGGCAAAAACATACTACTAAATATGGTAGGGAGGTACTGATGAGCACACACAATACAGTAACACGATTATTGAAAATGTCTGTTTATGGTACCTCCCCTCTACTCCCCTGCAATGATTGCTAATTTTAGCAACTTCGACAGCCAAATCTGATGATGCGAGTACCCTGAGATATTTGTGCGATTAATATTGATAGTTAATAATATTAACATCAGATCGTATCATATTCAATATGAAGCATTCCAATCTATCAAGAGATAGCATATTCCTCATTCAATTACGCTAACGTCTGATAAACTTATATTTAATATTAAAATGCAGTTACATTCGGACATTACGTGCATAGCTTTACATTCTGACACAATGTAGATGTGTTACTATTTGCAGTCAAAAAATTTACGTTGTTATTGCTCTAATTAATGCCTTATTTGACAAGAGCTAATGAACACCATCATGCGGTGGCAGTAATTGCCATATACTGTGTGTAAAAAAAAAATCATTGGCAAAAAAGTCGCGTAAACTTAAAGCCATACCATTTTTTAGTTTACTGAATGCAGAGTTTTATGTCGATATTCCAGAAGCACATTCCAGAAATTCGTAAACTAATGGGCTTTAATCCGCATACCAAGTTGCCTTGCAAAATCAGCAAGACTTATGAAGAGGAATGGCATGTTATTCCAGAAAGCATCCTAATTAATTAGTAACTAGTATTGCCAACACCTTGGCGCTGCAATCAACAAACCTTTAAAGATAAGCGATGTGTGTGGTTAGGTCAAGCGTTCATGGTAACATATCCGCTCAAACTATAAGGATTCGTAAAAATACATTTGATCGATTACCTTTCAATATAAATCTTTGGGGGCGGTACTTATTTTCGAAAGCAAGAATTTTTTGGGGGTACTTACTTCGCAACGTAACTGACATCTTGCAACTATATAAAGGCTTGGAAATCCGGAGTGTGTGTGTCAAAGAGTTTCTGTACAAATATTCTTCCTAATTAAAAACAGACAGACGCTCTGAACGAACAAGCATATTTTATAACAACCAGTTACGGTCATTAAATAGACAAAAAGAATTGTATACTGGATCAGTTGATGAAAACGTACATTTATGTCAATAATAATAACGAAAATCTAATAGGTCAGCAGAAAGGTCTATTTTAGTAGACTAAACAATCGTAATTGCAACTAAATTTCCTAAAAAGTTGTCATGCGCAGTATGACACAATGAAGTGTTGAGAATTCCCCTTCACTTGAAAAATTTTTTTAATTCAAACTATGTCGTTAACGTCAGGTGTTGTTAATAATCCAGCAATTGACAACTTGGTTCAATCCTCGGAAAGTGAAAATAAATACTTAAGACTTGAATGGATTCCTTGCTCCGAAATTACCGACATAACATCAAGTCCAATGGACAACGTCTACTACGCTATTCGCAAATATAAACCGCATTATTATGAAGTGGAAACGACGATATTACTTGAAAGTAACGAAGAATGTATACCAACACTTGTGAGTGAGTTCGCTAGAATATACTCACTTCCAACACACAAGTACAATAACGAGGTTAATCAGTTCAGAAGATACAAAAGATGGCTTGGCAGTCGTAACAGCATGATAATTGGATTTACCAATTCTAATGACAAGTATTACATGGTTGCTGATAGAAAGTTTTACCATTGTTATTCTCGATATGGATTCTGCTCCGCATGTGGGATACTCCGATGCAGTCCCGTGTGGTGCGTTTGCGGGCATAAATTATCTGATGGATGGACTAGCAACAATAACCAACTCGATGAGTTTATTAAGAATTCTCAATTACAAACAAACTCACCAAATCATGCCTATTTGGAATGGATTCCATTCGATTGTATTGAATATTGGGGAGATTATGAAGGATACTTGGATGGTCTACCTACTCTTGAAGAGGTTAAATTGACTCCGCTTGAAATAACGGATGAGACACATGATTTATATTATGCCGAGGTAAACTATTTACTTATGCGTCATGTCTATTGAATAGTTTAAATAATTATTGACTTATTATTATGTATCATTTCCACTAGTTATGTGGTAAGCATCCAGATATTCTTACCACAGATGTTTGGGTTACCATAGGATTCACATATTATGCCAGAAGTATTGTCTAATAAAGGAACAGACTGAGAGTGAATTATGTCTGGCTTGTACATATCCACTATCACCTAAGATAAAAGCATTCTGCATAAATGTAAAGCACCACAACCTCCTGATTGGACTACGGGCAACAAATCTTTGGATTCATTCATTATGGAGTCATGGAAGAATACGAGTAACAAAGATGATGCATATATACAATGGATAGAGTATTCCCTATTGATGAACGTACGAGAAATGAGCTCATTATGCAATGGATGCACACATACAACGGATTGGTTAGATCCGAAAACAAATGAATCTACACGTGTGACACTCAAGAAGATAGTTGACGGACAGGATGCTCAGTTATTTGATTTTCATCAGGTAAATTATTTCACCACAAATAGTATTAAGTATATATGCATCGCGTGTTTAACCGATGATTGTATTGTTTACTCAAATAGCTAAATAAGGAATATCCGGAGATATTAACACCCGAGAATATTTGGATAATTGGGATTACTCAAGAGCCATCTACTCAAGCATATTATTTAGTTTTCTACCATGAAATACGTCCAATATTGGACAAAATTATAAAGCGTTATGCACGTGTAAGTTATATGCAGTATGGTGACTTTTATGAAATTAAGAAGATCGGATCTGGTGGTTACGGAACAGTTTATATTGCCAAATATAAAAGATCCACGTTTTCACAAACTGTTGTACTCAAACGCTTCAAGAATTTTGATCGGACGGCGGAATTATTTATTTCCGAGGTAAGCAATAATTGATAATATTAATTAAAGTGATATTTAGTCTGACTTTGTATGT